TGCTCACCTTAAACATGACATTTTCATTTATTTAAACTATGAGCTATTTAAAAGTAAAGTGAGATGCACACCTTTGGGTAAAGACGACTTAGAAACCAAAGTACAATAAATTTCCCACCGTGGACACAAAAAAGCTGAGATGGTTCTTCAGCATTTCCTTCGGGCCATCGTTCTTCACAGCAGTCTGCAGTTCTCGTGAATTCCCCTTGATCACATGCAAGTTCATGTTACTTGAAGCCACATTAAAACATATAACAAGTGTGAGTCATTGACGTGAGGCTGAAACAGAAGTCTTCTACATATTTGGGGGGTGACTGAGAAAGTCGTGTTTGGTCGTGCTGCGATCATAAACCTGTTAACCTGATGTCCCAAAGGGAAGTACGTATCTCACAATAACTGAAGTGTAATGTTACGAAAAATTTAAAGCAACAGTCTGTGATTTTACAGTGATGTCCCCATAAACCAGCCTGACCTTTGCACTGTGTCCCCCCTCCCTGCAGCTGGTCCTTACAGTGGTCTGGGAGAATTACTCTACAGAGAGAGTGTGCCCATGCACACCTTCGCCAAGTATCTCTTCACCTCACTGCTACCTCACGACGCTGACCTGGCATACAAAATTGCACTGAGGGCCATGAGGTGAGACGTCACAACATGTAGAAACGTGGGGATGGATGTTTGGGAAACGAATTGAGGAAAATGAGGAGTTGTACCATTTCACATGTTTAACCCTTGTGTTAGCTCTTGGATTGGAGACCACATCAGTTCATATGATGTTTTAGAAGAAAGACCATCAAATCTTTGTGCATGTATTACCGTGTTTGTGAAAAATCAATGATGGGGGCCTAGTTGTGACAGGGAGACATGTTTGGATATCATGTGCTTCCTTAAAGTACCAGTAAACTAGTTCACGATTCTTTGCCTGAAATCAAGAAAATGCTAGAACAGTCATACTTTAAATATTCCCAATAACTGTACAGACGTTTCCAGACTGAAATGTTTTCAGATGTATTTGGAGAGTCAGCGTCGGCACCATACACAGTTATTGTATTCTGATTTTAAAAGTCCTAAATGACCTAATGGCATAATGTGGTTTATCCTCCATCATTTTTTTTTACCTCCTATCACTCGCCACAATATACATATTTTAAGTGGCTATAGCATCAAGACCCAGACCGGAGAGAGCGAGAACATATAAGATCTGTGATTGATCCATGTCTCCAGGTTATGATAAAGCATGTAATAACACAGACGTGTTGAAAGAGGCCAGATTTAGGAGCTTTCTGATGCACGGTTTAATGACAAAAGCTGGAATATTCACTAAATAATTCAACAAGCTGAAAACAAGTTTCATTAAATGTGTGAATAATAAATACCTGCTGGTGTTTTCCTCCCTGGTCGCCACTGGAAACCTTTGTTTTCCCTCACCTAAATTAGAACACTATTTATTATGTGTATTTCTTATTGTGTGCATTTTATTTCTATAAAAGAACAGGATGACGTTAACCCTTTGTCGGGGAACTCACTTAAATACTTTGAAATTCAGAAAATCAACCATAGACGGTTATTAAAGAAGAAAACAGGACTTTATTACTGTGAGGATGTTTTTTTTATGTTCCTGCAAAAAAATAAAGGTCAGTGAAGTAACCATATTTTTATTTTAAAACCCACTGAGAACGACCATGATATGGAAATGACCGTAAATGTTAACTTGCCCCATAAAGGGGTTAAACTCTACTCATCAGAGCATCTAGGAGCGTGTTTGACTTGGGCAGAAAGTGTGCTGAACCTGTCGACGTTTTTTAACCTCAGCCTCACTGTGGCCCGAGGCAGAGACTGCTGATTTGATTTGAACAGACTCACCAAGTCAACTGATGAACTCTGTGGAAGGAGCCCTGCTCTGCACTAACTTCTTGGTTTCCATTAAACAGTAGACGGATGAGTCCTGCTGTGATTACATCTGTGTGTGTGTGTGTGTGTGTGTGTGTTTCACTAAGTCTCTCCTCTCTCTGATCAGACTGCCAGTGTTGGAGTCCGCGGCCTTGTCAGGTGACCTGTCCCGGCCTCACCATATAGTGTCAGTGGTGCCAAACCGCTACCCTCGCTGGTTCACACTCAGCCACATAGAGACCCAACAGTGTGAACTGGCCTCCACCATGCTCACTGCTGCTAAAGGTACAACCCGACAACAGTAGTACAACGTTACAGAATGCGGTGGTCACGTGCAGGTCGTGTCTTCTCAGAAGTTCAGATCTAGGCAACGGTGTAGACTGGGAGAGTCTCTTCTTTGAGATGAGAGGTGAAATATCTTCAACGAACCTGAGCCAGTCCACCCGCCTTCATCTGAACTTCTAAGTCGGTTGTTACTAATGTAAAAGACATGTGAACACACTTAATGTGAAGAGTGACGTCTCCCAGTGGTCAATATTAGTTGACGATCTGGGGAGGTGGATGTCACTTTAATCTGTAGGAAGTTGTCGAGATTTTTATGAGTCAGTCGATTTCTCTCATGCGCTCTCACTCGTGGTCGCTGTACGTTATGAAATAATCAATCCAAGGTAAACAATATCAGCAATCTCGCTTGTTGAAGTAAGGCTTTGTTAAATCCTGTGCTGCGTACTGTCAAAGTCAGAAGTGCTGTATTGATGCCAGGATTAAGGGGAAATTTAGTTTTATAGCTGCTGCTCTGTGAAAGCATTTCAAGTAAATCAACTAGTTGTACAAAACAAGTAGTAAATAAGATAAAGGATATAATAATGACACGTACAGCATGAGTTCAAACATTGAATTTAACTCATTTAAAAAGTTACACTCATAAAGCCTTAACATGTGCTTAGTTAAATAACCAAAATATTTCACAAATCAAATAAGAATGATGCAACAATAACATCAGAAATAAATCCATTTATTTACAGTTCACACATTAACCACCATGATTGAAACGTACCTTCCATTCCATTCCATGTGCTAACTCTGCCTCCCATTTCTTCCTCTTTTTTTTTAAGGTGATGCTCGTAAACTACAAACAGTGTTAGAGTCCATCCAGAAAAACATCCACTCTTCATCACACATCTTCAAACTGGCTCAGGATGCCTTTAAAATCGCCACACTCATGGACAGTCTGCCTGATATCACACTGCTCAAAGTCTCCCTGGAGCTGGGCCTTCAGGTACGACCCACCCACCCAAAACAACAACAAACAGCCTCCTCACCATGGACACAGGCTTAACCCAACGTTTCTTACAGGTGATGAGAATGACCTTATCAACCCTGAACTGGCGGCGGAGGGAAATGGTGCGATGGCTCGTCACTTGTGCAACTGAAGTTGGTGAGTTTGAGAAATATAAAAATGCCATTAGATTTGTTTTGGAATAATTAAATTGAAATATTAAAAAATCTGTATGAAATTGACTTCCATATGGAATTATTTTATTATTATTATTATTATTATTATTATTAAAAAATAAAATAAAAATAAATTTGTACTATATTGATCCCATATTTGGGAAATTATTGTGTAAAAATTGGGAAATTATTGTGTTTTATGCTTGCCCCTAGTGAGCGCCAAGCATAGAAATTGTATTATTATTATTATTATTATATAATATTATTATTATTATAATATTTGTAGAATGTTTTAGTAATGGCTACTCAATGATAAGCATATAAAATAAACACAATAGTAAATAGTATATAAAATGCTATAATATATGAAATACAGTTGTGAAAATGAAAGATCCCAAGGTTGAACCCTGTGGTACTCCTAAAGATAAAAATAAACAAACGTGTTCATCTTTGCACGTTTGCCTCTACTTGTTTTTCTGTCTGTGTAGGTGTCTTTGCACTGGACAGCATCATGCAGAGCTGGTTTACCCTCTTCACCCCCACTGAAGCCACAAGTGTCGTGGCCAGCACGGTCATGTCCAACAGCACCATCGTCCGCCTGCATTTAGACTGCCACCAACAGGAGAACTTGACTAACTCCGCCCGCACTTTGGCCCTACAGTGTGCCATGAAGGACCCCCAAAACTGTGCCCTCTCAGCCCTAACACTTTGTGAAAAGGACCACATTGCCTTTGAGACAGCCTACCAGATTGTTCTGGATGCAGCTGCTACAGGCATGAACTACTCACAGCTGTTTACAATAGCGCGCTTCATGGACCACCGTGGTTATCCAATGAGGGCGTACAAACTGGCAACGTTAGCGATGACGCACCTGAACCTCAGCTACAACCAAGACACACACCCGGCCATCATTGACGTTCTGTGGGCATGCGAGCTCAGCCATTCACTGGGAAAAAACGAGCTGGCTGCGGTCATCCCCCTAGTGGTGAAAAGTGTGAAGTGCGCCACCGTTTTGTCAGACATTCTACGGCGGTGCACGTTAACACCGGGCATTGTGACGCTGCACAGTCGGAGGAACTCTGGGAAGCTGATTTCTCTGGACAAGGCTCCGCTCAGGCAGCTGCTGGACGCCACTATCGGCGCCTACATCAACACAACTCATTCCCGGCTCACGCACATTAGCCCCCGTCACTACAGCGAGTTCATTGAATTTCTCAGTAAAGCCAGAGAGACTTTTCTAATAGCACAGGATGGACACATCCAGTTCAGTCAGTTCATAGACAACCTGAAACAGATTTACAAGGGTAAGAAGAAACTGATGATGCTGGTTCGTGAACGATTTGGCTGAGACAGCATCAAAAGACACTTTTATACTTGAGACTCGTTTTTTTTTTTATCCTTAATAACTTGAAGAAAAAGAAAATCTACTTAAACAACCTACACACAAATCTTATTGCTATGACTTTGGTCTAAAGAAGTTCAAAGGTTCAAATAATCACGTCACAACATTAACTGGAAAAGTTTATATTTCTGTCCCAGTGAGAAATTAAATTTTGACAGCACCCACCTCAACCATACCCATGAGAGTACATGGTTTTACTATATATCATTGGCAACCCAAAGTACTTAGTGGTACAGCAATTATTTATTTTGGGTTTTTGTCAATAGCCAACACAAATCAACTACTATTGGACCACAACTGTAAGGCTTAAACCATTTATAATAAGAAAATAATTATTAAAAAAAAGTTGTTAAAGGTTTATTGATGCAGTTTAATGTAAATTTTTGAAGAATCGTAAAATTAAGAAAATTAAATTAATTTGTTAATTTTGTAATCGTAACGAATCAATATCTCTAAAATAAAACAGGACTTTAAAATGAAGTGGAAATACAACAGAAACCCACGGAGCAAAGTATAACGTTGATTCATTTAATGACGTTACAAATGTAAAAGAGATGGTCGAGTTTCCCTTACTGTGTGTGAAAGTGAGAGTGTAAAGAGTTTTACACTGAGTGTATACTGTGCTGTCTACTGGCAAAATTTCCACCCTGCACTAATCCTACCCCCGCCTCCCCCCCCTCCGCCCCCGCGTTACCATCCACAGCCTCAAACGAAAGACAAAACGGCTTTAAACCAAATGGAGCGACTCCATTTGAACTATCAAGTACCTCTTGTGAAGGATCCAGCTTTACCCCCTCCCCCCCCCCCCCCCCC